AAACTTTGTTGTGGAATGACAGAAAGTAGGTTAATAATAGAGCAAACTAATGTCAAGAGTTGTTTAAAGCTGATCCAGAAGTATCTGCAAGAACCACACAACTGTGTGTTCAAGATGGCAGGATTTACACCACTTGTAGTGTGTTCCTATAATGGCATTAGTTCAATAGATTTTTTTATATGTGGAATAAAGGCTCCCACTGTGAATGTTGTGATTAATGCACACTTAATGTTGTAAACATGTTAGATGTGATGTATGGTGAGTAGTTGATTTTTCTCTATAGATTTTACAAACTTTGTAATTGATAAAGTCATCCATATAGGACTTTTATACTAAAGCTCTTTAAGTATTTTGAAAATGTTTTGCATGCAAACAGAAATAAGAATTTTGTTATTTTTCCACTTCAAGCTCTAGTCAATTATAAGAATTTTCAGTGGTGTTCAATATATATGGTATAGAGAAAAAGTAGAGGTTGCTAGCCTATTTTGCATCTCAGTGTAATTTTTTAAGAATACAAGTCCTCCTTTTGTTTCAAGGCAGAATGGGATGTTACAAGATTTTTGTAATAGCAGAGTAATATCCATTTCTAATTTTGTAATTTTATTTTTGGTCTGCCAGAGAATATCGGTAAGTTTTGCTTATTTTGATTTTTCATTTATTTTCTCCATAGTGCCTGTTATAGTTGTAGGGGGAATCTTGCACTAAGAATTTTTTTCCTTTTTGAAAATTTTGTGAAGGCATCTTGTAGATAGAGAAATGATGAGGTAGTAAGACTATTGATAGAATTAGAAAGTAATCTGTAGTTTACCCCCCCCCCCCTCTTGAGTTTCTATTTGAAGTTATTATTTCTTACTTTGTGGTTATCTGTTGTACTTTAACCAGAGTTCATACTAGAAGCAAGACAGTAGAAGTTTTAAAAAATACTCTGTGTAAGTAAGTAAGTAATACAGTTAGTAAAAGGAGGTAACTTAGAGGCAATGTAAAAAAGTATTTTATTGTAAATTGTTTATTTGAAAAAAATAACCACTTAGAGTATCGTAGATTTCACACACAGGATTTGCAACATAGTCTTAATTTTGAGGAACCGTAATTTTCACATTGCATTGATATTGGAAATTGTACAAGTAGAATAAAGGTAAGGGTAGACAAGAAAGTGCTACAAGATAAAGATGAGTTTTGTATGTGGAAATGGTGATAAAAAAAATACTTTCAATACATTTTCAGAGAAGATTCATGGTACTGCATTTCTCTGCAGCCAAAATGGAGTGGTTTGTGATTATCCCCCAAATGATTTTTATTGGAAATGATGAAAATAACGATCAGGCTTTAGGAGATTTCTCTTGCTTGTTCTATATTTCAGCCTGTTTGGAATTGGAGATAGCATTGCATATTGCACAGAAAAGAAAGACATTAATTTTGTTCTACAATATGTGTTGACAGTGTAAGTGCAACTTTACCAACTGGGCAGTTGAGCAATGTCCCATGGCGCCGGTCAGGAGTCAAATACACAAATAATGAAGCTTACTTCGATGTAACTGAAGAAGTGGATGCTATCATCGACAAGTCTGGGGCTACAGTTACAGCTGAAATCCAAGGCCATGTAAGTCTTGTGTTCAATTGTTTATCTATTTATTATGGGTTGGCAGATTGGCAGTGGGCAATAGAAGTAGCATACTGTTTGATGAGCATTTATTATTTAGAAATTATGAAAATATATCACAAATGATGAACAATTTTTCAGAAAAGAGAGTGAGTGTGAGTGAGAGAGAGAGACTGAGAGTGAGAGAGGGAGAGAGAAAGAGACTGACAGTGAGAGTGAGAGAGAGAAAGAGACTGACAGTGAGAGTGAGAGAGAGAAAGAGACTGACAGTGAGAGTGAGAGAGAGAAAGAGACTGACAGTGAGAGTGAGAGAGAGAGTGAGAGTGAGAGTGAGAGTGAGAGAGGGAGAGAGAAAGAGACTGAGAGTGAGAGAGGGAGAGAGAAAGAGACTGTGAGTGAGAGAGGGAGAGAGAAAGAGACTGAGAGTGAGAGAGGGAGAGAGAAAGAGACTGAGAGTGAGAGAGGGAGAGAGAAAGAGACTGAGAGTGAGAGGGGGAGAGAAAAAAAGACTGAGAGAGAGAGAGAGAGAGAGAGAGAGAGAGAGAGAGAGAGAGAGAGAGAGAGAGAGAGAGAGAGAGAGAGAGAGAGAGAGAGAGAGAGAGAGAGAGAGAGAGAGAGAGAGAGAGAGAGAGAGGAGAGGAGAGGAGAGGAGAGGAGAGGAGAGAGAGAGAGAGATGAAGACAAAGAGGAAAAAGTAATTGCATTGGGTACCTACTCAAGGTAGTGGTCATTGGCTACTGCAGCATGTTTTGTGATTTAATTTTATTATTGAAAGATTAACACATTTTCTGTTTTTTATTATTATTATATGGACTGTAAAGAAAAGAATATGTAAATAATTATCTTTGGTAGTTGTGTGGGGCAGTGGGTAATACTGGAAAAATTGGCTGATTATCCTTAATGTCATTTTTCTCTCTAGATTGACTGCTGTGTCAAGTTGTCAGGGATGCCGGATCTTACCCTGTCATTTGTAAATCCCCGCCTCTTTGATGATGTGTCATTTCACCCATGTGTCAGGCTTAAACGTTGGGAGGTAAGTTTGTACCTATTGATATTGATTTTTAATTCAGAAAAATCCAGTGCATGATATCAAATAAAAAATGTAAGTAAGTAAATGGAGTTGTTTGTTTGTTGACATCTGCTCACACAATAAATATGTATAATACATGTAAGATTGTACATAAAATTATTGTATAAATGAAATATACTAAGAAAACTAGACTAAATTTTCATTTACATAATTGTGTATTGTTCTGCAGTCTGAACGAGTGCTGTCATTTATTCCTCCTGATGGCAACTCTAGGCTCCTGTCATATCACATTGGTTCACAGTCAGTAGTTGCCATTCCAGTGTATATTCGCCACAATATTTCCTTCCGTGATGTAGGAGGAGGAAGATTGGATGTCACGGTAGGACCCAAACAAACTATGGGGCGAACAGTAAGTGTGTTCTTTCAGGTGTCCACTCTTTTTAGTGTGGTTACTTTTGGAGTAATAGATGTTATAAATATTAAATCAATTTTTTTTCTCTCATAGCTTTTCTGTTTGATAAAATCCCAATCCATTGCAGGTTGAAGGTGTGATCCTTGAAGTTCCAATGCCAAAGTGTGTTCTGAATTGCAACCTGGTAGTGACTCAGGGAAAGTACTCATTTGATCCCGTGTCCAAGGTGTTGCGGTGGGACTTAGGCCGCATTGATCCCACAAAACTGCCTAATATGAGAGGGAATGTAAGTTTGAATTTCAGTGTTTTTTTTTTTTTTGAGAGATGTAGTACTCTCTTTTTTTCTTTTTGACTTCTCCTTAATGATGCTCAGAAAAGGGGTACTACACTTATGTTCTCTTTTGGGAAAGATTTGGTAATTATGTTTCTTTTCTTTCAGATCAGCATACAGAGTGGGTCCCCTCCACCTGAGAGTAATCCTACCATAAATGTAAGTTGCTTATCTCTTGCATTATAAGTGGAAAGAACTGAGTTTCTGTTTTAAGAGTTGAGAGTAAATTTCATATATCATAATGGCAACTTACCTTTTATAAGGCTTACAATCTACTTCTATAAATTATTAGCCTCAACTCAGAGTAACTGGAATCAATTTATATATTAATATAAACAAATTTTCTTCTTTGTCTTAAAGGTGCAATTCACAATCACTCAACTGGCTGTCTCTGGCTTGAAGGTAAACCGTCTTGACATTTACGGAGAAAAGTACAAGCCATTCAAAGGTGTTAAGTACATAACCAGGGCTGGCCGCTTCCAGGTTCGCACATAAGGGAGAGTTAGGGAGTGTATTGGGATGCCTTTCATTTCTTTAGGCTGATTTTTCTGTAATAATTACATAGTTTTGTTGTTGTTGCAGCTTGTGTTTTTATAGTATATTTGCTTTGATTAAGTTTGATAAATATTATGAGATAAATTTTTCTGGTATAACACTTGAGTTTTTTTATTGTGTTTGAACAAAGGAAAGTACATTTTCATGCTTTCTACCGGTTCTGTATATGATAAGTTCTGTTCTAAAATGTCATAATTAGATTTTGGTTTTACATTTTGTAAATTAATTAAACAGGGAATTAATTAATGATTTGAAGATTATAATAAGCTTATTCATGTAATTTATATACCAAGAATGACCAAGGAATCTGTTTGATGTGTAGAGGAATACTTTATGTACAAGACTGTATGTTGTTTTGTCAGAGGTAACCCTAAAAAGAAGAGAAAAAAGGTAACTAGTATATACTTGAGATATTTAACATTGCATACATTGCAAAGATAAATGTAACGGTGAATTAATTATTCTTTATATATATTTATTTTTCATTGATTTAATTTTTTCTTATAGTCTATTGTTGATTTTATGATAGTATTTTTAAAGGATATTTATGCAAATCCTGACTAATGCAAACTAGAAAAAAATGATTATGAAACAAGATTACACTAGTTTTGAACATTATTTTGGATTTGATACTTGAACAGCACTCCTTCAAATCGAGATACAGCTTCACATTTCATTTTCACAATATTCCTTTAGTAATACAAAATAGAACATGACTGCATGGGTCATTGCATTTACTTTTCTTACATCCTTTTTTTACAAGATCATCCCTTTGAAACTTTATGAATTAATGATAAAATCAATACCAATAGTAAACTATTTAATGAAACAGTTGTAAGATATTTTACACAATAAAGTATTCACATTTTGAGGAAGTAGTGAAGAAGTGCTGATTTTCATCATGAATCATATCTCATGATTTTTTTATTTTTCTTTAGTAGAATAACAAATGAATTCATTCCAGGTTTTCTTTTTTTGTTACTGAGAATCTCCAAACCTTTGCTTGAGTGTGTCTTCTCTCATTTCTAGGCTGTATTTTGATTGTTAAATAAAAGTTATTGTAATTACTGGATTCATTTTGACTGTGGTATACTCCAACCCTGAATGTAATCAACTACTTGATGAGGATTGTCAATAATATATTCTTAATTGATGTTGCAATGCTCGTATTCCTGTTTTAATGTATATATAACCCATTGATACCAGGGACATGCACTGTATACTGTGGTTCTGTAGTCTTTGTATATATATATTTTTTTTGCCCCATAAATGACTCTGTAAGGTTATAATCACCAAAGGGTTAATTACTAATCCTTCCATCACCTGTTTACCTCATTCCTTGATTATTTTGTGGAAAAAAATTTTAATTTCTATTAATATTATTCTTGTTAACTATGGTTATCATTACTTTTATCATTTTAGCAATATTAACCCATTGCTGCCAGGGATGGCATGTACGTACATGCCATGCCCACTGTGAATTGACTTGTTTGATTGTTTTTACACATAGATGGCTACACTTGTACTAAGTCACCAGTGAGCTAATTAAGAGTACTGCCTGTCTCGCCCATTTACCCTTTTCATTGATTTACGAAAATATTTAACATTATCCTAATTTGCGGTTAAAAATAAATTTATAGCACTAGTAAGAATACGTTTTTTCCCGCCAATTCAGGGAGAGGTGGAATCAGGACTAGCAGAGCCATCTATGGACAGAGATATTTCACAAAAATATAAAAAATGAGAACAGCATTTTCCCCATTTTTTATTAATTTTCCCCAGCGGCAATGGGTTAACAATGATACAGTAATAGATATGAGATTTTTTCAAACTTACAAGGAATGGAGTAAATGTGAGATCAAGCAAGTGCCTAGTAACTGACTCATGTTGACTACAAGCTTATGGGGCCATATATATAATAAAAAATAAATAGAAACAATGAATGAAATAGGAAAAGTACATGCTTACATGCATTTCTGGCATCATTGGATAAATATTATCATAAATGAACAAGTTACTTTACTGTTATGCATGAATGAAAATAATAACAAAGAAAAGATTTTTTCTTTTTATATGGAATGTTTTCCTTTGTACAAAGAGCAAACCCATAATCTTTGGAAGGATTTCACCAAGACCTGAGTAATGAAAACATGATTCTTAAGTACAATTTTTATTTACAACTTGATTACATATACATTATAGACATCTTTCTACAAATATGTTCATACATTTTGAGTTTAAACACCCTGCAGTTATGGAAAACTTGTTGCCAATTTAAGATCATTATCCTGCAAACATTATCAAAATATTTATATAGCCTCTGCATAATTAATTTCTTCAAGTAAGTACCTATATTCAATGGTAAAAAAATCTTATGTCCAACAGTGTGGCACATTCTATCTAGACACAAAATAAAAATTTTGCACTCTAAATAGCCATAACATGCATTCTTATGGGTAGGCATGCCACAGTAGAGAGACCAAGCAGCTTTCCCACTGAGCATAATAACTAATCAGAGTTCAGCACCCTGTTCATTAATGATAATGTCACATTTGAAGACTTCTGAAAAAGATTTTAGGAAATGGGGGACAACTTCATCTATGGTAATATCCCTGCCCAACTCTTTACTTATTGATGTAACACCTTTATCTGGGATGCCACATGGTATTATATTACTATACCAACTTAGGTCTATATTGCAGTTCAGAGCAATGCCATGGGTAGTTACATGGCGACCTTGAATACCTGTAAAAGAAAGAAAAAATATTTCACATTTGTCTCCTGAATATCTCCAATTGAGCTTATTTCATAATGAAAAATGTAACATGTAATTACTACACTTATGTTTTAACTGTTACAGTAGAAGGTTAGGTCCTTCTAAGATGTTTTCCCTAGTTTGTGATGGAAGGGAAGGGAAGAACTAAAGAAAATTAAAGAAGCTTTGAGCCCTGAGGAATTTGTCATATATTTAGGCAAGCTCTAGTAAAGTGAGGGAAATTGTGGCAATATAACCACAGGAAGTTAGGAAATGATGGTAATGTTTTCAAGTCTTACATAGTACAATGTTTAAAAATATGAATAAAATTACAGCATACAGCTACTGCTTCTTTAGCAGGCTGAAGTGCCACATGCAGCAATATTTATTAATGGTTAATGGTTACAAAGCATAATAAGTGTGCTAGACATTAAAGGTCAATTAGCACTATAGAAGGGTGTAAGAGTAAGATAAGGATTAACATACGAGAAAAGGGATTTAAGGGCGATTAGATCACAGTCTCAGGAAAAATGTCAGGAGGGATAGAATCCAAGGAAGGGGGTTCTGACAAAGGGTCATGTGTATCAAGGGGGAAGAAACGGATAAAGGGGAAGGAAGAGGGGAGTGGGATGTGCTGGGAAGGAGTAGGAGCGAGAGGTTTAGGGAGTACTTGAGTAAGAGGATGATGGATGTCAGCCGTTACTTTAAGTGTAGAAGGAATGGGAGCAGAGAGATTGGAGGATGGATGAGGGGGTAATTTGGGTCATGATTAGATAATTTTTTGTCTTTGACTTCTGAAGTGGATTTGGTTGGGAGGTCTGAGAAACAAATATGTTTGGGGATGGAGGGAGAGGTTGATGGAGGGGAAGATGGAGTAGAGCACTTAGCTTGTTTTGTGCAATGAGGGGAAATAGTGACTGGAGTGTCTAGATTTAGAATGGCAAAAGAATCTGAGTGGGTGAGAGAGGGGGTAGAAGTGGGATGATGAAGAGATACTGGGGCAGATGGAGAAACATCTTGGGAGGAAAGGGGAGGGGCAGAGTGAATGATGTTATTGGAGTGGGGAGAGATAGAAAAACCTTGATGTGCTTCCTGTCTAGCTTCACTTAAAGTGAGGCAATCTGAAAATTTGCATTTCAGACTTGAAACTTGTAGGTTGGGCAGCCTCTAGAAAATACATTATGGGAGCCATCATAATTGGCACATGTGCATAACTGTGTAGAGCAGTTTGATCGATTATGACCAGGTTGGGCACATAGAGGGCATCAGGCTGTGAACAGCAGTGTTTGGCAGGATGGCCTAGATGCCAACTATTCTGACATTGTTGGGGGGAGGTTGATATGGTTGGACAGGGAGGGACTCTCCACCAATGTAAACATTAATGGGGAGGTCATGTCTACAGAAAGAAATCTTGGCAATATTGGTGGGGACTTACGATAGACTATAAAGGGAATGGTGTAGCATTGTACTGATACTGCATCATAGTCCATGAGGCAGGTGAGTAAGTCTTCTCCACAATCTGACCAATCCCTGTTGTAGACATGGCGGTTTGTCAGAGATTTGGAGACTGTTCCAATGCAAGTATTGATTGAGGGATGAAGTTGGACAGGAATGGTTTTGCCAATTAAGTCAGTTAGGTTTGATAATGCTATAGCTTGGGATTTGGATGCAACTGTGACAAGGCGGGAACGATCATGGCGACTGCAGAAGGAAACTTTGCCTACTAGTTTTTGGAGACATTGTAGGAAGAGGAGAGTGTTGTCAGAGTAAGGAGCTGTGGGGGAGGATTACAAAAAAAATTATCCTATTTGGGTGGGCTAAGGTAGAGGTAGTAGAAGGATAGGGACATGTGGAAGAGGGAGTAATGTTGAGAGAGGTTGTGCTGTGGAGAGGTGGACAGTAAGGATTCAGAGAAGTAGTATTGGAGGATGGGGTAATTAATGAAGAAAGTTATGAGGTTGGAGATGAAGTAGAGGATGTTGGGAGAGGAGGAATGTCTCCTGGAGATTAAGTATTAACCTGCATGGATGATTTAGACAATGATGGAATGATGACAGGGTAGTAGTAACAGTGTTCAGTTGTGGTCAAAGGAGAGCCTGGGGTTGGGGAACCAAAAGAATTTAAATCAGTGGGGTTATTTGATAAAGGGGAATCCTCAGTGCCCCTAATAATGTCTTCATTACAGGCCATGGTAATCCTAGAGTATGTTAGGGAGAGAAACAGTCCACCCCTAAGAGTCCCTTTCAGGGGTGTGGGCTAGACAGCTAAACAGAGGAATACTGAGCTCATGGCTCTCCTAGGCTGTTCATAATTGGCACAAACAGTGGCGGACACTTTGCACTTTTTGGGGGAGGGCAAAAATTATTTGTGACCATGCCCTTCAGTTTATCAGAAAACATGGCCAATGCTCTTTTATATGTATTGTACTGTGTTGTGTTGTATAATAAAGATACCAAAAATCCAAGAATTGTAAAAATGCATTTCTGGATGGGGCTTAACTGAGTTATAGGTTTATTCTAGGGGTTGGCTTATTAAATTGCATGGTAGATAAGTCAAACTGTTAAGATTATTCAACAGAAAAAATACCAATTTCACTTGTAAAACCTTCCCTTATCTCATTTTTGACATTATTAGGAGGGGTGGCTGTCCCCCCTCACCCCCCATGTGTTCGCCACTAGGCACAAAGTCCACGTTTCATCCTTTCAACATGGCTAGCACACATTAGGATTGGGATGGTAGAGAGGGTTGGAGAAGAGAAAGAAACGAAAAGGGGAAGGGGAAAAGACAGCAAAATTAGTCGAGTCGAGGCCTGAGCCTCCCATGGCAACAATGGGCATGGGATGTGTGTGTGTGTGTGTGTGGGGGGGGGGGGGGGCAGTATTTGTGAACTCACCCAATGCACAAATTTTGTTGTCTTTCACCCAAACTCCAGTATGAGGTGAAGTTTCTGCGACAATACCAAAAGACCTACATGTGCGAATTACAGCTCTTTCCAAGGCACACACATACCTAGAAGTAAGAAATAAAAAAGCTCATTCTTACAGAATACCATTTTTAGCTTTTATCTGCTATTTTATACTAGCAGGAATTTCCCCACACAAACTTTTCCTTTTTTCTATTGTCTTCAATATTTTCACATTTTTTATTGCTTCTATTAGCTTTCTTTTCAGTATTATCATTATTATTATTGTTACTATTATTATTATCATTATTCTTGATAATTATTATCACTGTTATCATCATTGGTATTATCATGATCATCATCATTATTATTATTAATGTTATTATTATTATGATCATTATCATTATCATTATTA